CCTCGCCAGCATTTGTTATTTTCTGTCTTGTTGAACTTTGCTACTAGTGCTGGAGCAAGATGGTATCTCATTGTTGTTTTGATTTGCATCTCTAAGAGGCAGTTTTAAGAACACAACTTTGAAGCCAAAATGACCTGCATTTGAGTCTTACTTTTTGCACTTATTACCTGCTTGCTTTGGACAAATTGCCTCAACTCTGTGTGAACTTGCTTCCTGAGAATGTGCATTTTATGGTGGTTGTGAGAACTAAACAAGGTAAGGCCAAATCTGAAACACCTGTAATGCAGCAGACGTTGGTGGCAGGCACAAGTATTTTTATTTTGCAAAGGATAAAATTGAGGAGTAAGTCATGTAGGTTGATAATTATAGGAGAGGACCTGAATCCCAGACTGTGTCTGATTTCCAGACAGGCATTTTTTATTGCCTACACAACGAGTTGCCTACCGCTATGAGTTGGGACTGACTCCCTGGCAGTGAGTTTGGTTTTTTTTTTCTTTTTTTTTGGCTTACACTGTAAGGTTAGTAGCTCTCTTTGGCGACAGGAGTATTCAATTTTCCCACGAGCTACAATGACATACAAGCCCTGCTGGCATAGTGGTTAAAGCTTTGGGCTGCTAACCAAAAGGTAAGACAGTTCAAACCCACCAGCTGGTCAGGGGAAAAACACAAGGTAGACAAGGCAGTCTGCTTCCCTAAAGATTTACAGCCTTGAAAACCCTACGGGGCAGTTATACTCCATTATATAGAGTCAATGAGTCAGAATCATCTCCAAAGCAATGGGTTTGGGTTTTGCTGACATTTATATCCTTAATTGCCCACTATTAGGCCCCTTTGCCATTATTTTCACTCTCTCTGGCAATCTGGGGCACGGAAGGTGTACTAAAAATTTCACACTGTCTAATAATTTTCATGTGGGTCCCCAGAGCTCTATAGTATACGCTTAGGTACAGGAAGAAATACTCTACCAAAACAACCTCAATCAACACAAACACCAAAAACCAAACTCACTGCCACAGAGGCAATGCCGACTCCTAGCTACCCCCATTGGGTTTTCCACTTAGAAAATCTTTATGAATTAGATTGCCCCATCTTCCTCCCACAAAGTGGCCAGTGGGTTTGAACAACCAACCTTCTGGTTAGCAGTCAAATGCCTTGGGCACTCAGAGCCCCGCCCAGATGTTTATATTTACTCCCTTGGCTCCGCCCCCTACCATGCGCGGCTCCGGCCACGCCCCTAAGGAAGAACTCCGGGAAGCCTAGCGTCTCAGCCTGCCCATAGGGGATTCCCTCTCCAGCCAATCGGATCTGAGTAAGGCTCTGCCCCTAACAAAAATGGCAGGAGAGGCCTCAGTGAGGGCAAGCTGATCTGAACGCCCGAACCCGCGGCATACAGCGAAGGCAGTGGTAGCTGCGCGGTCCCAACCATGGAAGAAGGCGGCAGCGCTGGCAGCGACAGCAGCACCAGCGGGAGTGGCGGGGCGCAGCAAAGGGAACTGGAACGAATGGCTGAGGTCCTGGTCACCGGGGAGCAGCTACGGTAGGACGAGGGCAAAGACAGTGGGCTCGCGGCGGCACTGCCAACCCGTGCCCACAGCAACCCCGCGCGCACGCGCGCAGTGACTAGCAGCTAGCGACTGGCGCGGGGCTCCCGGGCGGCCGCGGGCGCGTGGAAACACTGTGCTGCGCCCTAGCCCAGCTGCTGCAGCCTGGAGCTCTCCCGAGTCGTGATTGGCGCGGGGCTCCCGGGCGGCCGCGGGCGCGTGGAACACGGTGCTGCGCCCTTTCCCAGCTGCTGCAGCCCGGAGCTCTACGGAGTCGCGATTGGCGCGGGGCTCCCGGGCTGACGCGGGCGCGCGAGTGGTGCGCGCTGCGCCTCTGCCCTGCTGCTGCAGTTCAGTGCCCGCGGACTAGCTGCCAGCCACCGCGTGCGCTCCTGCTTCCCAGTTCTTGCGCGCTGCGGGGCCTCGCGCGCCTGGAGGGGTCGGTGTGGGACCCGGAGCTGTCCCTTTACTCCTGAACGAAGAAGCTAGCGCAATGATCGCCTTCACTTAGGTTTTCTTTTATACTGGCAAGGCTTACTTCACTGCTAAACCTTTCATCCTGTAAAATGGGCTTGAGTACACGATCTCCCTGAAGGGTTGTTGTGCAGGCAAAACTAGGAACGTATCTGCAACATTGTCGCTATCATTTACTTGGCACATCGTCATCAATCATCATTTGGGTCCGCAAGGGGGCATGAAGGCATCTCGTCGGGCTGCCCTGCTGCTGTGCCAAGTACCCCCGCGCCCACAGTTTGGACAGAATTGTGTCTTCCGGGACTGGGGAACAGGCAGTGCCCCCTGGGGTCCCCCCTTGTCATTCCCATCCATTCTTAGTTGTTCTTGGGTTTACGTTAGGGAATTGGTCTGACCGGTTCAGCAGCTGGTCTTCTTGTGTCCATAAATCAGTTTTTCTGGAAAAAAATCTGGCTGTGCCGCGTTTGGGCCACGATTTGCTTGCGGGCCCCTGGCCCTGGCGGAACGACGCGCGCGTCTGTTCCTTCTAGTTCTTGGCCTGAATCACCTGGCTTATTTTGCTTTCTAAAGATCGTATTTCAGGAGAGAGAAACATGTAAAGGTCTCCGAAGATTTGGTAACCACGCTGTTTGCAGCACTTATATTGAGGAAGTAAATATTGGAAGTGGGAATTAATTGAGCTTAACGTTACAAAAGGCAAATTGAGTATTTCTGTTCCTTGTTGATGTTTATTTAAAGCACGGTCAGTTTTAAAAGGACTTTTAAAAAATGTTTTCTTTTGTCAAGACTCACTACCGTGGAGTCATAGCCAACTCACAGCGACCCCTCATTGGGTTTCGAGGCAGTATCACTAGGAGAGTAGATTGCCCCATCTTCCTTCCGAGGAGTGGCTGGTGTGTTTGAACCGCCAGTCTTCTGGTTAGCAGTCAAGTGCCTTAGGCACTACACTCCCTTTCATCAAGCGTATTCTCTAATTGAAAAAAACATCAAGCATTTCTGATTTAATCTGAAACACTTTTTAAAATTTAACTTTATTTTTGGTGAAAATACATGCAGCAAAACCTCTCCCAGTTTCTGGACACATTGATCAGTGAGACTGGTTACATTCTTCATGTTGCGTCAACATCAGTTGGGATCACTAGGGGGGTGCTGGGGGAGGGGGCGTGGTGCATGTGGCACTGGGTGACAGTGTCAGAAGAGGTGACACCAAAACGACTGTAACATTCTTGTGCCGTGTTCTAGGAGAAATTTATTTTTCTTTGTGAAAATATCTCTACACTTAGTTGTAATAACCAGAACTTTTTTTGAAAGCCCAGCTTATGAGTATTAATATACCTATAAGGCTAAAACTCTGTGATAATTTACTTTTTTTTTTTTTTTTTAGTTGTGATTTGGGTGAAAGTTTACAGAGCAAATTTGTTTTCTGTTCAACAGCTAGTACACATTTTATTTCTCACTTCCTGTCTGTGGTTACCTTTTCCCTGGGTCCTTCTTTCCTGTGCATTCCTGCCCTTGGATCTATCTCCTTGTGCTAGTGCTGCCTGTCTGAGCTCCCATGACTGACTGTTCTAAGGAGCTATGTACCTGGGTAACTGTTCACCTTGTAGGCCTGTCTGTTGTCTGGCTGAAAGTTAAGCCATGAGGGTGTGTGCATTTCTAGGCCTGAAGGGTGATAGGAGGCGTAGTCTCAGAGGTCTTACCAGTCTCTATCAGGCCAGTATGCCTTGTCTTTTTTATGTTTTTGAGTCTTGTTCCACATTTTTCTTCCACTCTATCCAGGAGCTCCAATTTTGATCCTTTTCTGAGTAGTTGGCAGGCACCATCTAGTTCTTTTGGTCTCAGGTTCCTGTGGTCCACTCGTCCGTTGGACTAATTGTTTCCATGCATCTTTGATTTTCTTCACTCTTCTTTCCTTCCGACAAGGAGAGACCAATTGTTGAAACTTAGATGGCCACTCGCAAGCTTTTAAGACCCCAGTCATTACTCAGCAAGGGAGGGTGTAAAACAATGTTTTTGTGTGGTATATTGGGCCAATTGCGTTTGATGTCCCCTGTGACCATGGGCCCAAGCTTACTCTCTCAAGGTGTTTGGCCCTGGCTAAGAAGTCTGTAGGACCTCTGATAGCATAGTGCCTAAGGCACTTGACTGCTAACCAGAAGGCTGGCGGTTCAAACCTATCAGCCACTCCTTGGAAGGAAGGTTGGCCAATCTACTTTCGTAGTGATACCGCCTCGGAAACCCAAGGAGGGGTTGCTATGAGTCGGGTCCGACGCAAAGGCACATAACAATAACAACAAGTCTATGATAGTTTGCTTTTAATCTTTCTGATGTGCTTTGGTCATAGCTATCATTATTACCCAATTACCACAATGCTTTGAATCATATGATCTTGCCACATGTCCCACAGGCATGCACTGTTGTTTTTATTGCTGCTGGGTATTTTATTGTCATTGATTTTGTCAAATTTTCTGGTGTTTTATCTACAATATTGAAGTAATTACTATTTGTGAACCTATATTAATAACTTTTTGACAATGAAATAGTAATTAAAGGAAGAGGAGAAGACAAAGGTTTCCATTCAGTTACTAATAATGCTGTAATTCTATATAGAAAGAATTTACAGTTTTGTAGTTACATGGAAGAAAGATGTGGCAGTCTGCTTCCGTAAAGATTATAGCCTTAGAAGCCCTATGGGGCAGTTCTACCCTATCCTGTAGGGTCTCTTATGTGTCGGAATTGACTCATGACAGTGGGTTTGGTTTTCGGATCCATATAATTTAAGGAATGTTACATTTAAGTAATATACAGCTATATTCATCGTATACTATTCTATGATTAAAATCAATAATAAACGTTTCTAGGGATTCTGTGGTCTGGTATGGGAGGAAGTCCATGGGGGGGAAGGACACCATGTGTTTCTGCACTAGGTGACAGCAACACCAGTAATACCACTGTTGAACACTCACTTTAATTTGTTTCACTTGCATTACATAATCTCCCTGCCTCTTAGCCTTTTCACCTATGCTTTAAAATAGC